CACAGAGAACTAAATACCCAAATATTCAATGTGTACTTTAACTAAAAATGTATGCCCTAAAAGTAATTTTTAATTCCAATTTTAAAATATGTATAATATATTCTGGCTACTGATATTCATTATCATACAGTTTACAATAACATCCTATTTGTCATACAAGCAGGGAAAGCAAGGAAACTATTCTGATATTGGCAGTAAAATATTCTAACTCAGCCTGGAGAGTGTTAATGCTTTATGTTGTGGATAATATAAGGTCTTTTATTTTTATTTTGTTCTTCCCTGTTTTCTTCTTTTCTTATATTTTGTATATTAGCAGCTTCATAAGAAAGATAAAAACAAAATATTATAAAAAAACAATTAATTGTATAATTGGCAATTACATACTAAGAGGGATAACCAGTTGTCTAAATTTATTTACTACCATTTCATTTGTCACTATGATAGCGTTTTTACCCACCGTTAAGGATTATCCATAAAGTTCAATCATATTTACTCAATTCCCTATTATCAAGATTTATACATTACTATACTTAAAGCTTCCTTTTTCCTTGAACTTTAGATATATCATTAAATAGATTTATTCCATAGACAATGTCTTCCCAAATTTTGAGTATATGTATTGTATTTGACAATCAGGTTAACGAAAAACTGTTATGTTTCTAATGAATAGACTATGAACGTGCCCACAAGCTTGCTTGTATATTTTTACAACAGATAAGAAAATTTAGACTTGTTTTACATTTGGTTATAATGAAGTTGAGAGCCTTGGGAGCTGCGGGAGAAACATAGGTAGACATGCCAACAACAACATAAAGGCAGCCCAGAGTGCCTGATGATCAAAGCAATGGCACCCAGACCTTGGTATCCCTCTGAAAGGTCTGCTGCAGTTGGCCTACTGAAATTAGGGCTTACTGAACATCTTATTCTTCAATTCATCCATTGAACAATGTCCTTTCCTGTCCTTTTCATAAGAAAGGTAAAGCTGTGTTTGTTTGAATCAATGCATATCTCTGAGCTGCAATTTTTCAAAGTTCAGTGAGTTGTATATATAAACCATTTTTATCCATGTAGCACAGTCATACTTTCCCCCAGATGATACTCTGGGGAGTACGGTATTGAGAAAGATTATTTTTAGTATGCAATAAGAAAATAATAATCAAAATAAATATATAAAAGAACAAGATAAACAGTAAAAAACAGTAGCAACGTAAGTCTGTGAAAAATTATTTGCTACTCATACCACATATCATTTGAATTCTCTTATTTATGCCTCAAAACATCCATTTTTAATTCGTCTTACACATCTACACTCTCTGAAATAGGTTTTTTTTGTTTGTTTGTTTGTTTAAAGAAGCCATTTGTCCAGAATTACTAAAACTATTATGCTCTGTCTGCAAAATAGGTGATTTTAGCAAGCCAGATATGCACAGTTAAGCTGTGCTTGCAGAATTGTTTTTCTTAAAGTGCAACCAATTGACCATATACCAGCACTAATTTGTTTCTAACCAGTAAGGCATGAGCACATGCTGCCCCATACAACAGTGATTGCAACCAACGTGGACAGGTGCTTGTTTTTATTCTCAGTAAAGGAAAATTTAAATGCAGCAGTGTGCCTCAGCTTAGACCGCATATCTCCAGGCTCTGCTTTCTTCCAAAGACGGATTTTCCATTTGCCCTGCATTCAGTTTTACACTTTTTTTCATCAAACAAGGCTTATGCTCCTAAGAAAGCTCTGGAAAAATGACTTAGACCTAGTCGTTGCAAAATCTTTTAAAAACCTATGTTAATACCCTAAAAAAATGATAATATATATCTGCTTATGATATAAAACTACTCTTTACAATACTCTCAAAGTGGTATTCTCATTTATAATTTTGTCAGACTTTAGACCCTCACAAGTGCCTTATAATTCCTTCTTAAAATACCAATGCTAGAGGGCAGGTGGTAGATTTCTGGGACATTATTATCTTTCTCAGGGCATTTAACATGCAGCTTGTTTTTTTTTTGTTTGTTTGTTTGTTTGTTTTTGTTTGTTTTGAAACGGAGTTTCACCCTTGTTACCCAGGCTGGAGTGCAATGGCCCGGTCTCGGCTCACCGCAACCTCCGCCTCCTGGGTTCAGGCAATTCTCCTGCGTCAGCCTCCTGAGTAGCTGGGATTACAGGCACGTGCCACCATGCTCAGTTAATTTTTTGTATTTTTAGTAGAGACGGGGTTTCACCATGTTGACCAGGATGGTCTCGATCTGTCGACCTCGTGATCCACCCGCTTCGGCCTCCCAAAGTGCTGGGATTACAGGCTTGAGCCACCGCGCCCGGCCTCAGCCTGGTTTTTTAATAATATTTTCAGTCCTGGGAAACTATAATTATCCTGAAGCATGCTTCTTACACTGTCTTATTTCTTAATTACAGTAGTGACATGAGATAAATGCATACTTATTGGAGATCAAATGCATATTATTTTGTGGTGATTATAAAGAAACTCTCATGACAATTGCAGTTACCTGCTCATCAACTACAGATACCATGTTATGTTACAGAAACTGTAAGTCCTGCCAAGAGGGAACTTTTTATTTGAGATAAAAGAATTTAAGAGTGAGAGATTGGCCAATTTAACAGTGGACAGTGTTATATTTATATAATTCATCTAGGTAGAAATTTAAGTTAAAATCCCTAAATATTAGTTGATATAATAATTGCACCTGAGATTCATAGGAAAATATTTGCAATTTTACATGATTTAAATTTTACTTGAGATTCCATATGAATCTCAATTAAAATCATTGTCAATTAATATTTAGGGGTTTTAATTACATTTAAAGAAATTAAGAGATCCAACTTAAATTTAAGGGGTTTAACTTAAATTTCTACCTAGATAAATTAAATAAATAATATTGTTAAAACATCTACTCTCTTTTTTGAGGTTTCCAATAAAAGATTTGAATATACTCCAAGGATAAAAAATGGACCAGAAATATGACAGGAGTGATACTGTCTTCAAAGATAAATTTGCAGTCTATTAGTAATATTTTTCTCAGGTACTATAATTCATTGTCTTAAAAACTTTCATTTAAGGTTTGCAAAATACTTTTTTCTTTCTTCATTTCAATTTAAAAAGAAAAATAAAAACTTTAAGTTGCCAAGATAATACTTACATAGTTTACTACTGCCTTCTACAAAAATACATTCTTTGTCTTGCTTTTTGTTGTTGTTGAAAAGCGAAAAAGGAAAAAAAAAATGATGGATGTCAAATTCAATATAAAATAATGTTTTGGTGAAGGTTTCTGTTATATGTCAGAATTGGAAATCTGGGTGCCTGGGTTTAAATTCCTACTCTGCCACTAAATAGATGTAGAACTTGAACAAGTTGCTTAATTGCTTTCTGCTTAATTTTTTTTTTCCATCTGTTAAAGGGGACAATAAAGTAGCTCTTTTGTAACAGTATTGAGAAAATTCAATTATTTCATATATGTAAAGGGCTTAGAATCCTGCTTAGTACATAGTAAACAAGTACTATACGAACTTTAGATATTGTTTTATGTAAGTTAGGAACATTGAAGCCACATTCTCTTCTCTACCTTCGACTAAGATGAGGTGTGACTTTGTGATTTTAATAGGTTTCTTCAGATAATTTTTGTTCAGTATTCTAGTATGACAAATAATAGAGAATACCTTTTCCACAATAAAAAGGGTATTTAAACAATAAACTGCTACCTATCAGATTGGCCAATGTAACATTGGGGAGTGACATATATGCCTATGTTTGTTTAAATGATTCCATACGAATCTTAAATAAGACTATTTTATCAACTAACACTTAGGGTTTTTCAACCTACAGTGAGATTTTAACTTACAGTATTTTGCCAGCATGTATTTTTTAAATTCTGGTGCAAGATAATGCTTCTATTATTTTTCAAGACAAAAGGCCTCCTCTTTAGGCATTTACAGTTAATCTGTGACAGATTATGAGAACAGAAGGCCTGCTTATAGTCTTTACTGCATGGCTAATATCTAACCACACTAAGAAACATAAACCCTTTAAAAAGTGTCAGTGCGTTTTCATACAAACTATTAGCCATGAGACACTTGAATTTCCATCTATATTATTTTTCTGTTCAACTTCAGATGTTGTATTTGTTTTAATATCATTTATGGCATCATATTAGCCTTATATTATGACATTGAGGAACAAGTACAAAATTATGTTTGTCACAAAGTGATGAACTCTCTTTTTATGACTTGCATAAACAATCTCTTCAATTTAAATCAGAATTTTGCCATTTTTCTTTTATTTCATATTTTTTAAATCGCTGTTGCTATGCCTGATAAACTAAACATTAGTTTATGGTTGTAGCACATTTGAATTTTTGGTTGCTCTTTGAATACCAATTCATCTAATTTCATTTTTTTCTTTGTCTATGATATACAAAAGAACTACTCTGAAATGCCATGATATTTTTAGAGTTAATATTGAGGTATGAAAAGTTGTAAAAGGATTAATGAGTGGAAAAGAGTTTCTGGCTAGATGCAATCAGTTTCTGCGCAAACATTTACCGTCTCTACTGCAATAAAATTCTTTTAATTAGACCACAAAAAAGCACATTTTCTTGAGTCCGATTCTATTTCAATCTGTACACACAGAAAAGCTCTGGAAAATTTGTTTAATTTTAGAACTGGCTTAATTTTCGTTCTTCACTAGTCTGAGAGGTAATAGATTGGAATTTGATGGTATTGGTTCCACAGTAAGCAAAACTGATAACGCAAAGTAACACTATCCTTCTGAAGAACAGTGAGGAAATGACACCCTCAATTTTAATTTTAATTTTAAAAGTGGGTTTAAGTGTTGTTTTTGAGATTAAAATTAAATGTGTAGCTTTCCACTTAAAAAGATCATTGCACTTCTTGTGAAATTCCAAGGTGAGGCGAGGTACTGGGTGGAGGTTGTACTGGTGCTTTTGAGCTTAAGCATATATTTTTGTCATCATTTTTATTTATCTTTCAGATCAGCATTTTCATGACCCATTTGTCAAACTATGGAAATGATCGCCTAGGGTTATATACGTTTGTGAACTTGGCCAACTTTGTGCAGAGCTGGACCAATCTGAAATTGCAAACTCTGCCTCCAGTACAACTGGCCCACAAGTACTTTGAGCTCTTTCCTGAGCAGAAAGACCCTCTATGGCAGGTAACATTTAACATTCTCTCCTGGGGTGGAAGGAAAGAAACTAGCAATTTGCGAATGTATAACTTGTGTTAGGCAAAATGCTGGACATTTTAAAACTGGAATTTAACACAAAATCCTCTTTTATACAATAGTTTTATTCTCTTCCTCGACAATTTTTGTTTATTTTTTAAATTGTTTGCATTTTTTTGCTTGCTTCTCTGAGTTTTTGTTTGGTTGGTTGCTTGGTTGGTTTAAAAATTTTTCTTTGAAGATGTTCTTTTATTGTTGGTTTCTTCTCCAAGCTTATCATATGACCTTGCATGTAGTGTGAGCACCTACTAGCAGTAAAATGGTTAGACACTGGATATCTAGATAAAACCTAGAGCCACAGTATTCTGAGAATTAAAATTAGACTTTGATATGTATATATATACAACATTGTATATATAAGAAAGGGAGAATAATTTTTACCTTGTATCCATATATAGCCAATCTCTCTCTAGCATATCTTTGCTTTTCTTTAAATCTAACAAATCTTTCACTAACGTTAGACCTACTGGAAAAGAGAATTGTCAGTGTTAGGATTGCTTTACTAATAATTCAACTTCATGTGGGGCCACTTAGCCTGGATGCATCAAATGTAAACTATCTGCTTCTTGGCAGTTACCTAGGAAAATGTTGCCTCCCATTTTCTTGCCTCTTTATGCATCGGATTACTCCCACACACAAAATCAATAGGCTGGCTGCAGAGAGCAGATCAGATAGTCCCCTGCCAAGCAGTCAGTTGAGAAAGCAGCATCACCATTAATGAGAAATCACTGTAGAACAGACTTTCTGTCATCCTCTCTCCCTCTCGTCAAACTATTTGTTTCTCTTTATGCCACAAATCGTATTACATCCCACCCTGTGTCTACACTGTCAGAAATGCACCCAACACATGTTCATTGTGCATCTATTATGTGTAAGGTAAGGCTAGATGTTCTAGGGCATGCGAAGAACAAAATACATTTTTTTCTGAAAGCCAGTGGGGAGATTTCTCATTATTTACTATCCTATGTTTCAAAATGTGTTTTAAAACTGACTGCTATAATGTTTCATATTATATTCTGATGATTTATTAAGCAGTTTTTTTACCAGTTGTGTTTACATTGAACTACACATTCTATGTACCATTCCAATAAATTAGTTGACCATCTACCATTTGATATGTAAATTAGAAAGTCAGATAAATAGATATAAGCCTAAGTATTATGAGCATATATCAACACACAAAACAGAATTGTATAAAGACAAAGCATTATGTCCCATAAATGGTGGTTATTCAAAAGATCTGAAACATTTTTATAAAATTGATAAATCATTGATGATAAATCAATTCTTTTCTCACAAATGTTTATGTAAAATATAGCTATAATATTTATGGTACAGTAATAATAAAAGCCAGACAAATTAACAAAATTTTAGATAGCTGACATAGCAAGAATCCTTCAGTGGCCTCCAGCTCTACCCTTCCTCTATCTGTAGAAAAAGGAAAAAGGTTTTATTAAATTATAAACTGAGTTTCTTGATATTGTTTGAACTTTTTAACATAAGGAATTGTATGTATTAATATGTTTGGATATCTGTGACACTTTTCTTAAAAAATGAATATTAAAGATATGCCAGCTCCAATATGATTTGGTCAAGATGATGATTCTAAGTATTGATTGAATGTTTGTTAAACATAGAGTAGTGTGATGTTTGATTAGCGGTGTAAGTAAAAATTCAAAATTAAAATATAGGATTATTCTTTAAGAAATTATACCATTCTTAGAATATATAAGATATATATATGCATATTACATATTTGTATGTTTTATATATATATATATATATATAAAATTTGCAATTACTGACAATGTTAATTTTGAATACTATCATGGGGGTAAGTTCTTAGAAAGTTCTTCATAAAAGTGAGAATAACAGAAAAGATAACATAGAATTTACAAATTTTTAGCATTGTTGTTTAAATAAGTTTAGGAATTTTCATATACATTATCAAAATATAATTTTCTGTAAAAGTACTTAAGTGATACATGAGTAAATGTTTTCCTGTGAAAGAATCTTTTTGCTATCATGTGAGTTATATTATTTATATAGTTACTTTTCACTAAAACTTTAAAGTTGCAAACATTTTTGTTAACTAAATACCATATATACTCAAATATCATATCCCATATATTCTCAAATATATTTAAGAAGAAAAACAAGGAATAGAAAATAAATAGTAGTTAAGTTAAAGAGAGAATTATTCAGATACATGAGATTTTGAGAACAGTTGACTTACTGCAGCAAATCTGCTTAACTTTTCCAAACACATGAAGTCCAAAATCTTCAAGTTGTGAAATAACAATAAAGTACATAATACTGAATTGGTGGTTATCTCTTCTTTTCATATTCATATCTGTAATAGCACATTAAAAAATGGTAAGCATTGTCAACATTTTCTCTATATAATATAAACTTAGAGTTATGTAAAGTAAAATAAGTAAAACTAGCATTAATTGGTAGATATTTTACGACCTATTTATCACTATGCTAGAGAGTTAGAATAGATAAATATAGTCTATTTCTGTTATTGTTACAAAGTGTCAAAACAAAATATTAAAGGATCTTTTTGTATTTCCCAGTGTGATTTCTTATTTAGTACATTTCATGTTTAAAGCTAAATCAACTATTATTTTTCTTTAGATTTTCAATTCACATGTTCTTGTTACCACAAACAAAAGTGAAAAATGATAATGTTCACGTCTATTTAATTTCCTTTGGTTCCTCATGTAACTTTTCATTAGCACCAACTACCATACATGTGAAGCTGCTTTGTCACCTAATTAAAAACTGCAATATGAATAACTGTCAATAGGTAGCCTGATAAGTACAGCACAAAATGCCTTTGTGCTCATCTCTCACTGGAAATTGGTTCTTTCAATGCTGATTAACATGGGAATGTATACTGAGGACATACATGAAATGCAATTCCCAGAATGCATCTTTGTCAGTTCAGTCCTTGATATGTAAGACTCTTAATACGATACTCACAGGTGTCTATTAATTCATGTCCCTTATTAGTTTGGTAGAATAATCACTACACAGTGTGAAAGAATAGGGTTACTTGCTTTTAAAAAAATAATAATATTAATAATTCAATTATAGAAACCAGAACCACAATATGGAGGAAGTTAGAAGGTCAGATTCTTACACTTGAACTAATCGATGCTTTTAAGCTCTCAAACTGTCAGTTTAGCTCAGTCCTAGTCTTCAATCAGTCATCCAGAGTCTCACTATCAACAAACATGCCATGCATGATGTGGATTCCTGCTTGTCTGTATGACCAGGAGAATGCTCAAAGAGCTAAAATTTCTCTCTCCATGCCAGTGTCTCCAGGGTTACAGAAGTGGGAAATAAATCATAGAGCACTAACCTTAGATGGTTAATCCCTTTTCTGATAGTAGCTGTGTAGACATCCAGCCCCAGATAAGAAATAATGAAATCTGAATATTGTGACATAAGCAAATCTTAAGTTTTAGTGGCATACACCCTGAAGGTTCTTTTGGTATGTGTCTGTTGAAAGGATGAAGGACTGCTGACACGGAGAATTAAAGATTGTAAGAGCAGAGTAAGAAATTCGAGACATACAGCTCATTGTAGAGAGAAAATGGATGACACTCAGTGAAGTGAAATGCCTTGTTTTAAGTCACTTGGCTTATAAGAAACAAGTCAGGACTACAGCTCTAGGTTTTCTTACTTCTCCTCCAGGGTGATTTCAACCACAAGATGGTGGTTTTAAAATTAAAAAAGCAAATGAACTATTACCATCAACTCTCTAAGTAGAATAAAATTTCAGGAATAACTCCTTTCTTTAGATCTGATGATATGTTCAGTGTGAATTTATTCAACCAATGATGTTGAAGTACCTACATAATCAAAAGAAAGTTCTTGCCTTCATGAAACTTATAAGCCACTATAACTGCTTGTTATGTGAACAAAATAATGTTACAAATTTGTCTTCATATTTCTCTTTTTACCACCCTATAACTTATTTATGATCATATTACTTCACTTATCACACAGTATTGGAGACACTTGTGCCTGCCATATATTGGTTTCTGCAAACTTTAAAAAATAAGACTTTGTTGATTCATATTTACAACCTGGAACCTGGCATAGTACAATAGCCACTGTCTTCAAAATATCATTAAATAATAACAAAAGGGCCGGGCGCGGTGGCTCAAGCCTGTAATCCCAGCACTTTGGGAGGCCGAGGTTGGTGGATCATGAGGTCAAGAGATCGAGACCATCCTGGTCAACATGGTGAAACCCCGTCTCTACTAATAAATACAAAAAATTAGCTGGGCATGGTGGCGCGTGCCTGTAATCCCAGCTACTCAGGAGGCTGAGGCAGGAGAATTGCCTGAACCCAGGAGGCGGAGGTTGCGGTGAGCCGAGATCGCGCCATTGCACTCCAGCCTGGGTAACAAGAGCGAAACTCCGTCTCAAAAAAAAAAAAAAAAAAAAAAAAAAAAAAGAATAACCAAAAGCAGAGAACTGTGTATACAGAGAACAATAAAAGAGGCACACCTGTTTCTCAGATAGTTAGTAGGGAGGTAATGGTAAGTAGGCTATAGAAACAGGTACAAGTCAGGGGGGAGCTTTCTTTCTTTTTTTTTTTTTTTTTTTTTTTTTTGAGACGGAGTTTCGCTCTTGTTACCCAGGCTGGAGTGCAATGGCGCATCTCGGCTCACCGCAACCTCCACCTCCTGGGTTCAGGCAGTTCTCCTGCCTCAGCCTCCTGAGTAGCTGGGATTACAGGCACGCGCCACCATGCCCAGCTGATTTTTTGTATTTTTAGTAGAGACGGGGTTTCACCATGTTGACCAGGATGGTCTCGATCTCTTGACCTCGTGATCAACCCGCCTCAGCCTCCCAACGTGCTGGGATTACAGGCGTGAGCCACCGCGCCCCTGGCCCAGCGGGGAGCTTTC